AATATGGTGAAAATGTCTCTGACAAAATATACAGGCCGTTGATACTGGCGGCTATATAGTAATGCAATATTGTACATAACTGAAGCGTGTGTGTTCCTCGTTCACCTACCGGTGATGCCAAACATGGCATCTAGGTGACGAGCACCTGGTGTCAAAAGTAAGAGTATGAATGAAAGTGTGGAAGTTGAGCGCACTGAAGCTGGGATGAGACAATTGTTCGTATTGAACTCGCACTGACGTTAAGGGTCGTATTCGTGCAGAACGTCTACCTTGTACCTTTATTTCTTGATAATTATAGAGTTGAGGTGACATGGGATTTTACGTAGCGGGCAAGATTATGGCACTGGTGATACTCACAAAGCAGTGGTCGTTGTTTGGGTCGTAGTAGGGTGGGTGACATGGGAGGTGCATGGTTGGTGGTCAGGTGGGCGACATGGATGGTGTATGGTAGGTGGTAGGGTGGTCGACATGGCAGGTGCATACCTTTGTCATGGGAGGGGCATGGTAGAGGGAAGGGTGGGCGACATGGAAGGTGCATGGTGGGTGGTCAGGTGGGCGACATGGAAGGTGCATTGTGGGTGGTCAGGTGGGGGACATGGAAGGTGCATGATGGGTGGTTAGGTGGGCGAGCGACATGGAAGGTGCATTGTGGGTGGTCAGGTGGGCGACATGGAAGGTGCATGGTGGGTGGTCAGGTGAGAGACATGGAAGGTGCATTGTGGGTGGTCAGGTGGGCGACATGGAAGGTGCATGATGGGTGGTCAGGTGGGCGACATGGAAGGTGCATGGTGGGTGGTCAGGTGGGCGACATGAAAGGTGCATGATGGGTGGTCAGTTGGGCGACATGGAAGGTGCATGGTGGGAGGTCAGGTGGGCGACATGGAAGGTGCATGATGGGTGGTCAGGTGAGAGACATGGAAGGTGCATTGTGGGTGGTCAGGTGGGCGACATGGAAGGTGTGCAAGGTGTATGTGAGTGGGATGGAAGGTGCATGTTGGGTGGTCGGGTGAGAGGGATGGAAGGTGCACACTGGGTGTTAGGGTGGGCGAAATGGGAGGTACATGTAGGGTGGGCGGGTGAGTGGAATGGTGGGTGCATGTTTGGTGGTCGGGTGAGTTGGGTGGAAGGTGCATGCAAGGTGGTCGGGTGAGAGGGATGGAAGGTGTATGCAAGGTGGTCGGGTAAGTGGGATGGTGGGGGCATGTTGGGTGGTCGGATGAGTAGGATGGTAGATGCATGCAAGGTGGTCGGGTGAGTGAGATAGTGGGTGCATGCTGGGTGGTCGGGTGAGTGGGATGGAAGGAGCATGCAAAGTGGTCGGGTGAGTGGGATGGAAGGTGTATGCAAGGTGGTCGGGTGAGTGGGATGGTGGGTGCATGTTGGGTGGTCGGATGAGTGGGATCGTAGATGCATGCAAGGTGGTCGGGTGAGTGAGATGGTGGGTGCATGTTGGGTGGTCGGGTGAATGGGATGGAAGGAGCATGCAAAGTGGTCGGGTGAGTGGGATGGAAGGAGTGCATGTTGGGTGGTCGGGTGAGTGGGATGGAAGGTGTATGCAAGGTGATCGGGTGAGTGGGATGAAAGGTGTGCATGTTGGACGGTCGGGTGAGTGGGATGGAAGGTGCCTGTTGGGTGGTCGGCTGAGTGGGATGGAAGGTGCATGCTGGGAGGTCGGCTGAGTGGGATAGTGGTTGCATGCAAAGTGGTCGGGTGAGTGGGATGGAAGGTGTATGCAAGGTGGTCGGGTGAGTGGGATGGTGGGTGCATGTTGGGTGGTCGGATGAGTGGGATCGTAGATGCATGCAAGGTGGTCGGGTGAGTGAGATGGTGGGTGCATGTTGGGTGGTCGGGTGAGTGGGATGGAAGGAGCATGCAAAGTGGTCGGGTGAGTGGGATGGAAGGTGTGCATGTTGGGTGGTCGGGTGAGTGGGATGGAAGGTGTATGCAAGGTGATCGGGTGAGTGGGATGAAAGGTGTGCATGTTGGACGGTCGGGTGAGTGGGATGGAAGGAGCATGTTGGGTGGTCGGCTGAGTGGGATGGAAGATGCATGCTGGGTAGTCGGCTGAGTGGATAGTGGTTGCATGCAAAGTGGTCGGGTGAGTGGGATGGAAGGTGCATGTTGGGTAGTCGGGTGAGTGGGGTGGAAGGTGTATGCAAGGTGGTCGGGTAAGTGGGATGGGAGGTGCATGTTGCGTGGTCGGGTGAGTGGGATGGAAGGAGCATGCAAAGTGGTCGGGTGAGTGGGATGGAAGGTGTGCATGTTGGGTGGTCGGGTGAGTGGGATGGAAGTAGTATGCAAGGTGATCGGGTGAGTGGGATGAAAGGTGTGCATGTTGGACGGTCGGGTGAGTGGGATGGAAGGAGCATGTTGGGTGGTCGGCTGAGTGGGATGGAAGATGCATGCTGGGTGGTCGGCTGAGTGGGATAGTGGTTGCATGCAAAGTGGTCGGCTGAGTGGGGTGGAAGGTGTATGCAAGGTGGTCGGGTAAGTGGGATGGGAGGTGCATGTTGCGTGGTTGGGTGAGTCGGAAGGTAGTTGCATGCAAGGTGGTCGGGTGAGTGGGTGCATGTTTTGTAGTCGGGTGAGTGGGGTGGAAGGTGCATGCAAGGTGGTCTGGTGAGTGGGGTGGAAGGTGTATGCTGGGTGATCGGGTGAGTGGGATGGGAGGTGTATGCTGGGTGGTCGGGTGAGTGGGATGGTGGGTTCATGCTTGGCGGTCGGGTGAGTGGGATGGGAGGTGTATGCTGGGTTGTCGGGTGAGTGGGATGGTGGGTGCATGCAAGGTGGTCGGATAAGTGGGATTGTAGGTGCATGTTTGGTATTCGGGTGAGTTGGATGGAAGGTGCATGCAAGGTGGGCGGGTGAGTTGCATGGATGGTGCATGCAAGGTGGTCAGGTGAGTGGGATGGTGGGTGCATGTTTGGTAGTCGGGTGAGTTGGATGGAAGGTGCATACAAGTTGGGCGGGTGAGTTGCATGGATGGTGCATGCAAGGTGGTCAGGTGAGTGGGATGGTGGGTGCATGTTGGGTAGTCGGGTGAGTGGGATGGTGGGTGCATGCAAGGTGGTCGGACGAGTGGGATGGTGGGTACATGTTGGGTGGTCGGGTGAGTTCGATGGAAGGTGCATGCAAGGTGGTCTGGTGAGTTGGATGGAAGGTGCATGTTGGGTAGTCGGGTGAGTTGGATGGAAGGTGCATGCAAAGTGACCGGGTGAGTGGGATGGTGGGTGCATGTTGGATACTCGGGTGAGTGGGGTGGAAGGTGTATGCAAGGTGGTCGGGTAAGTGTGATAGAAGGTGAATGCAACGTGGTCGAGTGAGTGTGATTGTTGGTGCATGTTGGATGAGTGGGATGGTAGGTGTATGCTGGGTGGTCGGGTGAGTGGGATGGTGGGTGCATGTTGGGTGGTCGGTTGAGTGGGATGGAAGGTGTATGCAAGGTGGTCGGGTAAGTGGGATGGAAGGTGCATGTTGGGTGGTCGGGTGAGTGGAATGCAAGTTGCATGCTTGGTGGTCGAGTAAGTGGGATGGGAGGTGTATGCTGGGTGGTCGGGTGAGTGGGATGGTGGGTGCATGTTTGGTGGTCGGGTGAGTGGGTTTGGAGGTGTATGCTGGGTGGTCGGGTGAGTGAGATGGGAGGTGTATGCTGGGTGGTCGAGTGAGGTGGATGGTAGGTGTTTGCAATGTGGTCGAGTGAGTGGGATGGAAGGTGTGCATGTTTGGTGGTCGGGTGATTTGGATGGAAGGTGTATGCAATGTGGTCGGGTGAGTGGGATGGAACGTGCATGCGTGGTGGTCGGGTGAACTGGATCGGAGGTGCATGTTGGGTGGTCGGGTGAGTGGGATGGTGGGTGCATGTTGGGTGTTCGGTTGAGTAGGATGGAAGGTGCATGTTGGGTGGCCGGGTGAGTGGGATGGAAAATTTAAGTAAATCAGCCAATAAGGGTTTGGTCCATTCTTTTAAAAAACTAACTTTCGTTGGCTATAGATTCTGTCTCTCTTTTCAAGTTGTGAGTCTGAATTTGAACCGCTTTGGGCAATATAACAGCGTTGAAACAAAGAAACTGCTGCGGCGGGACTCAAAGTTGTTCTTTCGTTTCAATATGGTTTGGGATGCTGGAGATATGTGTAGTTCGTCAAATAAATTATTGGACTGTCAATAGAAATTTTCCTTGAATACAGAAACATCTTTATTTCATTGTTATATCAAATATCACTACACATCAAGCTTCTGGTATAACTTCTAATAGAAAAAGGTAGAGGGCTAAACACAGCTAAACAGTTAAAACTTTTCAAATCTAGGAAAGTAAATGTTGAAGAACATTCCATGTCCTTCGCGAATGCCCTTTGTAATGTTTTTAAAGAGAAAGCTATGTTCCTATTATGTATACAGCCTTCCCGAAAATGAAGTCATTTTAAGAGCAAATGACATCAAAATGCATCTCGATCATTTACAACTTAGCAAAACATGTTCATCTATCCTTCACATTAAGTTGGTTGGTTTGTTGTTTAACGCCGCACTCAGCAATATTACAGCTATATGACGGCGGTCTGTAAATAATCGAGTCTAGACCAGACAATCCAGTGATTGATATCATGGGCAACGATCCACGCAATTGGGATCGATGACATGCATCAACCAAGTCAGCGAGCCTGACCACCCGATCCCGTTAGTCGCCATTTATGACAAGCATAGTCGCCTTTTACGGCAAGCATGGGTTGCTGAAGACCTATTCTACCCCGGAATCTTCATGGGTCCCCTCACATTAAGAAATGAAGTATCATTTGATTGATTTATACATATATATTAATATTATTGTGAACTAATTCATTGCTATAATTTTCCCTGCATTCAGCTGGTTTCATCTGTATTACATGAAGTATGAACTACAGACCTTTGACCTCTTACCACGGACTAAACATCATCATCACAACAACAGCCTGACCACCCGATCCCGTTAGTCGCCTCTTACGACAAGCACAGTCGCCTTTCACGGCAAGTACGGGTTGCTGAAGACCCATTCTCAACGGTGAGGGGTCTTATATTTTATGTACGTTATCTGAACAATTTGCATTTGTAAATATCGGCAGGTCTACGCGGTTGAGTGACTGCTATAATTAATATTGATCAGTGATTTTTACATAGCTTATGCAATATGAGGATATAAAATATGCTTATTTGTGTATCAAGTATTACACTCTTCCACTACTTTCCACGAGCAAAAATGAATCTGAAAAACACCACTCTAACGGAAAACAAAACCCAACAATACATTCTACAATATTCTACATTATTTTCAGTGTTCCAACCTCTGACGACACTCAGTTGCCTGGCTTCCTGAACATGGCGTACTCAAGAGGGCGAATCATGTCGACTATTGAAAAGCTGTCTCACCTTTTCGGTGGGAACCTGAAAAAAAGACATTTGCTCATGATACCGATACTTGTGTTATTCCTGATCTATATCTATCTCTCATGGACCTCCGTAAAACAAGATGTAAGTTTGGAACCTCTTGCATCTCTAATGTGTTAAATGAAGAAGATGCATTTTCTATTTTGTTTATATATTAAAAAAACGTCAACGCCAGAGAATAACCAGTCTCGCCTACCCACCGAAACATATTCCATTGGCGTAAAAAGCAAAAGAGCGGTACAAAGTATTTGAATGGATCACTGAAAAACAGTGATGACACCAGGTGTTCGGCAAAAGGTTGAGCATGACCTGCCCCACATGTAGCACCAACCACTTACACAATTTACATGAAATCGTAAGTGCATGCTGCCCGGCTCAGCGCAACAGTACTCCTGCCATGCGACGGCGGCGTGTAATTACAGACAAAGCAGACAATCGATGGACCTTAAAAAACAGTGACACCATAGCCCATTTAAAGATATGTTGAAACTATAAAAAATATGTATATTTTGAATTACGTCTGGTTTGTACAAGTGCAGAGACGTCTAACCTTCATCTGTCACTGTGCGTTTCGTTCAATTGTCTGTTTTCTATCCTCCCATACCAGTCTGACCTGCCCTGATACAGGGGCAATACTGATCAAACCCAAATGATCACCCACTCACTATATTTGAGAAATAAACGATGAGTGGGTCATTTTTATGGTACAATAAAACAGTGAGAATGAACCATGAGTGGCGCAGCCCCGAGGGGTTTAGTCTCCCGGCAGTGTCTTATTGTACGATAAACAACGACTACGAGTCGTTATTTCTTATATCAACATTTTGTACATTCTTTTTAATGGCAATGTAATGTAAACGCTTTAAAAACATTTACCCGTATTTTGATAATGATGACTTCCTGAACACGATCCCACCTCGCCAAGTCGATTATCTGTACTTTTCCACCCAATTTCATGTCTCGCCCATTTCCATCTTAACATTTTCATTAAACTCTTTCCAGCTTTCAGTTGAAATGCTAAGCAGGAACAGGTCACTTCATGGAAACAAAATCACCTCGTCCGATGAAACAAAAGAAGTCTTGCGCTACTTCAAACAGACTGGGTATTTGCCTAACTTCTTGTTGACAGCTTATGCAAGTGAAAATCGACCCCAGAAGGGTCGTTTAAATATACTTCTGAACACAATGGATGGTTCATATGAATATCTTAAATGTTGTATTTTGACAAGAAACAGAACACTACTAAGGACGTGGGCTATAGAGGTATACAGATATGGCGGCCGTGCTCACTTCCACCCTACAAAGTACAGCTGTTCAATCCCAATTGATACCGACGTTGTCAACGTCTCTCTGACGATATCCACGTGCAGCCATGACGACTTGGATTACGTTCCAGTCCAAAAACCAGTTCAACTGCGGAATGGTTTAGCCATATGTGGAAAGACCTTATTTGGGAAGGAACTCAAACCGCGGCGTCTGGTCGAATGGATAGAGATTCAAAAGCTACTTGGAGTTGATAAAATTCTAATATTTGATTTGGACAACCCAGACAGTATTCGGATGGTTTTCCAACATTACATAAAACAAGGAATTCTTGAAGTACAGCCTTTTGAGTTGCCGGGGAGAATTAAAGGTATTACGTTATGCTTTATCGGATTCATGTAAATGTTGTTGTTGTAATTAATCATAGTCATAATTAACCTGTAATATCATATGCCTGAAATAAATTATGAGCTCAACCCCTTCATTATATTTGATAAATCCCGAAGTTTCTCGTTTATCTAGAAATGACCTACGTATATGGCATATACGTCTAATATACTACTAATACCTTCTGAACAGTTTCAAGAGATGGCATTTGACAATCGATTTCAATATGAGGATGTCACTTTATAAACCGACAAATATGTTTTGTCAGAAAGTTAACAAAGGGTGCGATTTTAAGAAATAACTATTGCATATAAACTGCCTGGGAAAAAGAAAGTATTCACTTGAACATTACATTTGGCCAAACTATTACAAGCGTTATCAAAACGTTACTAGGCTGAAAACAGTCGCCGAAGTTAAGATCCAAAACACAAATATGATACCCGTATGAAATACACTATCGAATGACCAATTCTTGTTTGTTTCAAATAAGCCACCATCAAACGAAGGTATATGCATTCTTTTGCCATTCAGTTTAGAAATATGTAGTAAGCTGTGCTTAACGCGTTTTCCAGGTGACTGTATATAACAGCTAGAAACAGCTACATGCACGACACACGGATCAACCATGTAGTCGCACTGTATGTTTGATTCTTAGATCAAGGACCCGACTTTCAATTCCACCACAATCAAATTACAGGTCGTAGGAGGCGACTTAACTGGATCGGGTGTTCAGACACAACGGCAGATTGCATGTCATCCTACTCCGATGGCGTAAATCATTGCTCATGTTGTCAGTCAACATGCCTGGTATAATATTATTTCATGGCAGACTTGCCCTGTCCCTGTCCATGAGAATGACTTAGTGGTTAAAGAATAGGATCAAGTACACTTTACAGCTCAATCAAAATAATGCCTTAAAAATTTATGGAAAGCTAAATACCCAGGAGGACTGGATATGCATACTAGGAGATCGAAACATGTAACTTGTGCCCAACGTCTGGTGACAAGAAATCACTAGGATTTGACATTCTATACTTGAATATCGCCTGTAGATACAGGTTATATAACATTATTTGGAGGTGGGGTAGGTATTTTTGCCTGAGACAGAATATTTATCAGTAAGTGCTTCAAAACTTAGAAAATAGTTCTCTGAAAGGTGGTACGAAACATTTATTGGGGACCCACGCAAATCCTGCAGGACCTCAGTCTTTGGCTTTGATTGCAGGTGCTTCCTTCCGGGATTTGTATAAACACCGCCATGACCACGATGACCAGTTTGACAATGATGACAACTTCCCCCTGCTTGACTGCAGAGAGAGACTATCCGGTTACAGATGGGTCATGGGTATCGATGTAGATGAGATTGTACTTCCCAGGAAAAACATGTCTTTAAAGGCTTTTATTAAGGTAAGGAAATGTGCATGCTCAATTTCTATTTCTTGTATTTGTTCACCGCTAAAGTAACCTACGTTTTCTATTTCATTTTAGGCCAAGTAGAAAAAAGAAAAAATATTTCACAGAAAAGTTTCAAGTCTTTAAAATGTAGCACATAATTTGAATAATTATGTTTTTGTACTTATTTGGTTTACCGATGTTTTGCTATTATCATAGGGTTGGTAATCGAAAACAAATAGATGAATAAATACATTGTAAAAAACGTGTTATTATTTCGACGCTAAGTAGTATTTCAGTCAGGAGAAATTAAATAAGAAAATTATAATAAAACAATGAGATTGAGAAATTAAAGGATTACATACCATCTTATATTGGTCTGTATTTTTATCAGATGCAAATACTGAAACAATATTCTGCATTTGTGAAAGTCCCTGAAACAATTAATACAAATCTGCTGCTTGCAAGTTGTATCGTTGTCAGATACATATGTATATTGTTTTACAGGATCTTGTTGCTAAGCACCCTCTTGCTGCTGGCTTTCACTTCTACATGATGTTCCACTACACCAGCTTCGGTAAAACCAGGAACCATTCTTCTGGCATCGAACACTTCGAATATTCCAGATCTACTCCACCACAATGGAAGGCTTACAAATACATCTACATTCCTCAACGAGTGGATTCGCCAATCACTCACCTCGTGGACCCAAGACACCCTTTCACAGTGTTAGTTGTGATACAGTTTCATATTTGATATTACATGATAATTGTATCACTTAACATCTCACCTGGTAGGGATTAAGCTGGATAGCAGTCACCTTAATTGATAAAACACAAACTGTTCATGATAAAAGTTTTATTTAAAGGGACTATCAGTTAAAAGTCAGTGAGGCTTTCATGGAAAAGGTTGTAATGCGTAAGATAGTTTTTGTGTCATTTGTTGGATACTAGTATTTAAATACATTTGCGTGTAAGTTTCATATGTGGCTATCGTGGGTGGCTTAACGTGAAAGTTGAACAACGTAGCTACCAACGTCATGTCTATATTATAGAAGCCTTTACATAATCGACAACCAGACAAACCGATGGTTTATGTAGTGAGTGAGTTGCGTTTAACGCCGCTTTTAACAGTATTCCAGGTATATCGCGGCGTGTCAGCTTAACGTGGGAGGAAAGCCCGAAGTGTTGCAGTTCTCATACGTTTACCACTTCGGTGAAACCCACGAGCACGGGTATGGTGCTGACAAACCTAGAAAAATAATTGAGTCGAACCTGGGTTCTCGAACCCACAATCATAGGTTTCTGGCGTGCCCTAGGGACGCAACTCGGAACAGCAAATCGCGGTGCATTAGACGACTGGGCCATCCGTGTCCCCTTCGATGGTTAATAGCATCAGTAAGAAAGCTTGTTCCAAGGGTACAATTATACTTAATGATCAGGCCAGGTCAGCCATCTCAACCAGCCATTCCCATGCTTGTCTCCCGTTACGCCAAGCATGGGGTAAAGTGAAATGATCATCTCAAAATCCCAAAAGGCCTCGAACTAGAAAACACATAATTGAATTGTGTCGATCAGAACCTGCATGTTCACAGATGACCTGTCTGTATGTTACCAGCTGTATCTGTACTATATGTATGGGTTTTTTTCACTGGTGCACATATACAACTGTCTAATGCCTCTCCGCTGTGCAAAGTAGCATCCCTTAGTCATGCCAGGATCCGATGATAGTAGTTTTGAATACCCGTCTCTGACATCTTTGAATGTCAGCACATGTCCTTGATTTCATCTTGTGTCACTTTCCTCATGCATTAAGCTGGTGACGTCATACATATTTATTTTTTTAAATGGCCTTTATTTTCAACATTCACACACACACTCTTCTGCTATCTATTGTTTCAGGCCGCGAGTTTCTCCAGACGATGGGGTAATTCATCATATCCGTATCTGCGAGCACAGAGAGAATGACTGTTTTCCTCCGGGTTCCGCCAATGACGAGTCACTATTAAGATTCGAAGCTGACCTGCCGTCAAAGGTACAGAAGGTGATGAAACAGATATCATTACCCAGTTGAGAAGATCCGGTTTAAAAGGACGAGGGCCTAAATGGACCTTGGTGTCATGATGATAATGGACCGACAGAGGTGCACAGTTTTTATTGTGTTATGAGAATCCATTATAAACTAAGCGTCAAAAGAATGTATAGGTTGGCAATTTGTAATTTTCCTAAAAACAGCGATAACTAGTGGAAAGTGGGTATTGGGAATATGACTGCGCAGGAACAGGTACCACAAAAAAAACACCTCACCCGAACGCGCCACCTTTGACGGCGCTCGTGCCGTTACAAATAAATGGTGAAACAGGTTTCCCGCCCATGGCAAAAACTGCACGTGCATGTTAGCTGTATAAATGCGTTCGTCTGCAGGGTATAACCACACGTGATTAAATGCCACACAAAAGAAATGCCACGACTGTCACAGGAGCAGAGAGAGAGAGAGAGCCTTCGGTATGGCCGAAATGGGGGCAACACAGGTCCAAATTGCCAGAAGGTTTGGTTGTACACCATTGACAGTAGCAAGGCTGATTCATCGGTACACGCAGACAGGGAGGACACCGGACGACCCCGAGTGACAACACCACTGGAAAGCGGTCAGATACGGCTCATTCACCTGCGAAACAGATTCGTAACGGCGACGGCGACGGCAGCAACAGCGTTGGGACATCCAATTAGCCAACGTACAGTACTACGAAGACTTCGTGCTGCTGGAATCCGAGCGTATCGTCCTTTCCGAGGAATGGTAATGACTGCTCAATATCGACGCCTGAGACTGCGATGGGCGAGGCAGGTTCGATGCTGGCAAGTGAGAAAATGGCGTCGAGTGTTGTTTACTGATGAAAGTCGGTTTAACTTGTTTCGAAATGACGGCAGAGAACGAGGGATTGCCTAAAAGTCGGGCCAAGAAAAGTCGGGCCGGGCCGGGCCAGCGGGTAATACTAAAAATGGATTGCAGAATAATAAAACGAAACGCGCATATCTAGGCAGATCTCAAATGTCCACAAACGTATAGTTTTGCTCATTTAATTGAGTTTGAATAAAAATGCACCTTCAACAATGTAATTAACTGATGATTATGACTACATACCGTGAGTCTCGTAGAAAAGTCAGCGTCTTGACTGTGTATTCTTTGATTAGAATGCTTCTCACCGACCTTAGCGTGTAGGGGTGTGATGTCCTGGGCAGGAAACGACAGTGTTTTGACTACTCTTCTTTCATTAATTAACGTGTTTAGGTAATTAACCTTTACTAATTCGTGTTAAACCAACACAGGATGTTTTCTGGAAATGGATATTCTCGAATGTCAAAAGACTGACACGACACGTGTTAATAACTGTCCAAGCACTTCTAAAGTTCCTAACATTATTTATATCTAAACACTAGTATTTTATCTAATTATTTACCACTTTATTGTCTCATATTTCAGTAGTTAAAGAAAACACAGAACTCAAAGTGAAGCCCTTTTCCCTCTACATTCTCAACATAGTCTCTATCAGAAGTGTTTGGCTTGTGTTGGGTCCGACTTGGCCCGGGCGGTCAAAATCAACTTTAAACACACAGATGTAACTTCAAATGTGATTAAATCTATAGATTAGTGTTATATCTACCTATACACCAATTTATAATGTCCAGGTGTATCGCATTTAAAGAAATCTGCGCCCTTAAAGTGAAGCATTTTTACTTTATTTTCTTTAAAAAATCCAAGTCAGAAATGTTCGGTCCGACCTGGCCCGGGCTGTTAAAATCAACTTAAACCTCACAGATGTATCATCAAGTGGATTCACATCTATAGATTAGTATTATATCTACCTATACACCACTTTATAATGTCACAGATTGCAGTATTTATAGACAACAAGGGGCTCGAAAGTGAAGCCCTTTTCCCTCTACATTCTCAACATAGTCTCTATCAGAAGTGTTTGGCTTGTGTTGGGTCCGACTTGGCCCGGGCGGTCAAAATCAACTTTAAACACACAGATGTATCTTCAAATGTGACTTAATCTATAGATTAGTGTTATATCTACCTATACACCAATTTATAATGTCCAGGTGTATCGCATTTAAAGAAATCTGCGCCCTTAAAGTGAAGCATTTTTACTGTATTTTCTTTAAAAAATCCAAGTCAGAAATGTTCGGTCCGACCTGGCCCGGGCTGTTAAAATCAACTTAAACCTCACAGATGTATCATCAAATGGATTCACATCTATAGATTAGTATTATATCTACCTATACACCAATTTATAATGTCACAGATTGCAGTATTTATAGACAACAAGGGGCTCGAAAGTGAAGCCCTTTTCCCTCTACATTCTCAACATAGTCTCTATCAGAAGTGTTTGGCTTGTGTTGGGTCCGACTTGGCCCGGGCGGTCAAAATCAACTTTAAACACACAGATGTATCTTCAAATGTGATTAAATCTATAGATTAGTGTTATATCTACCTATACACCAATTTATAATGTCCAGGTGTATCGCATTTAAAGAAATCTGCGCCCTTAAAGTGAAGCATTTTTACTGTATTTTCTTTAAAAAATCCAAGTCAGAAATGTTCGGTCCGACCTGGCCCGGGCTGTTAAAATCAACTTAAACCTCACAGATGTATCTTCAAATGTGATTAAATCTATAGATTAGTATTATATCTACTTATACACCACTTTATAATGTCACAGATTGCAGTATTTATAGACAACAAGGGGCTCGAAAGTGAAGCCCTTTTCCCTCTACATTCTCAACATAGTCTCTATCAGAAGTGTTTGGCTTGTGTTGGGTCCGACTTGGCCCGGGCGGTCAAAATCAACTTTAAACACACAGATGTATCTTCAAATGTGACTTAATCTATAGATTAGTGTTATATCTACCTATACACCAATTTATAATGTCCAGGTGTATCGCATTTAAAGAAATCTGCGCCCTTAAAGTGAAGCATTTTTACTGTATTTTCTTTAAAAAATCCAAGTCAGAAATGTTCGGTCCGACCTGGCCCGGGCTGTTAAAATCAACTTAAACCTCACAGATGTATCATCAAATGGATTCACATCTATAGATTAGTATTATATCTACCTATACACCAATTTATAATGTCACAGATTGCAGTATTTATAGACAACAAGGGGCTCGAAAGTGAAGCCCTTTTCCCTCTACATTCTCAACATAGTCTCTATCAGAAGTGTTTGGCTTGTGTTGGGTCCGACTTGGCCCGGGCGGTCAAAATCAACTTTAAACACACAGATGTATCTTCAAATGTGATTAAATCTATAGATTAGTGTTATATCTACCTATACACCAATTTATAATGTCCAGGTGTATCGCATTTAAAGAAATCTGCGCCCTTAAAGTGAAGCATTTTTACTGTATTTTCTTTAAAAAATCCAAGTCAGAAATGTTCGGTCCGACCTGGCCCGGGCTGTTAAAATCAACTTAAACCTCACAGATGTATCTTCAAATGTGATTAAATCTATAGATTAGTATTATATCTACTTATACACCACTTTATAATGTCACAGATTGCAGTATTTATAGACAACAAGGGGCTCGAAAGTGAAGCCCTTTTCCCTCTACATTCTCAACATAGTCTCTATCAGAAGTGTTTGGCTTGTGTTGGGTCCGACTTGGCCCGGGCGGTCAAAATCAACTTTAAACACACAGATGTATCTTCAAATGTGACTAAATCTATAGATTAGTGTTATATCTACCTATACACCA